CACATCCTAACATGAGGGTCCCCTGAGTCACCCACCTAACATCAAGGTCCCTGGGGTTCCTCATCCGTACCTCAGGATCACCAGAGCCCCCCTTCCCCCCACTGCTTACATTAGGATCTCCAGAGTAATTCCCCACACATCAGGGTCCCTGGAGTAATTCCCCACAAATCACTGTCTTCAGAGTAATCCCCCTTACATCAGGATCCCCAGAGTCACTCCCCCCTAACATCAGGGTTCCTCAGCCTTACCTCAGGGTCCTCAAAGCCCCACCTAATATTAGGGTCCCTAGAGTCACCCCCCCTAATATCAATGTCCCTAGAGTCACCCCCCTTGTGTCAGGGTCCCCAGAGAAATCCCTCACATCAGGATTATCCTGATGTGATCCCTCACATCAGGATAATCCTCCCCAGACTGATCCCCCTTACATCAGGGTCCCCAGAGTCACCCCCCTAACATCAGGGTCCCTGGTGTTCATCAACCTTACCTCAGGGTCCCCAGAGCCACCCTGACATTAGGGTCCCTGGATACACCCCACTTACATCAGAGACCCTAAAGATACTCCCTTAAAGAAGAGCCTTTAGAGTTTCCCTAGTTACTTTAGGTCCCCAGAGTCCCCCTTTTACATCAGAGTCCCCCTCCTCCTTACATCAGGGTCCTAAGAGCCCCTCTTGAATTATAGGCAGAAAGAATGAAGGATAAAATGAAGGGGTGCGTCTAAAGCTGGCCATAGACAGATCAAAATATGGCAGGTTCAGCCAGAAATAGCCACATTTTGATTGATGTATGGGCAGACTGGTTGTACTGAAGTCAATCTACTGATCGACTTCAGCATAACCAGCCTGTCTGTTTTTTTTTTTTTTTGTATGATTACTGCCAGCAGCTATAGCCGCAAGCAGTGATTAATGTATTCTGAAGGCTGGGAAAACTCCCACTGTCAGAAAACAATATCTCCATGGGAGGGATTCCCCCTTCAACACAGGCTGTATTGATGAGGGAATCAAGCAATTTTCTTTCCTTCAACCTGGGGTTGAAAATTGCATAATGTATGGCTTGTCTAAGAGTAGCTAAACAATGAATTGCACAGATGTAAAGGTTAAATGAAAGTAAACTTTCTCACCTGATAACAGAATCTTCAGTGTACACAGCCTTATTTACTGGCCAGCTGATTGTGTATCTCCACCTCCACTCTATACTGACAGGCTTTATTCACTGCCGGGCTGACTGTCGATGTGCAGCGATCGTTCAGTATGGAGTGGAGGTGGAAATACACAATCAGCCTGACAGTAAATCAGGCTGTGTGCAGAGAAAGTTCTGTGATCAGGAAAAACGATTTCCACACTGTAATTCTCTGTCTTCCTTTACAAGGAGATGAGAGTTGCTGGAGCTCTCAATGGGACCCTGCCTCTATGCAGTGCACCTTCTTTGTCACATTCCTGGAAGAAGTAGTTTGCAGCTGGGCACAGTGTATTGGGTGGAAGCAGGAGGGGGGGCTGTGTTTGCTTTGGTGGGGCACAACTGAAATCTGGGGGGGCATAGCCCACCCCAGCACCCCCATAGATCTGGACATGCTAACTTCCATGCATTTTTTCAGTAGTTTGCCTATAAGACCTAACAACACGATTAACCGCCCCACCACCACCATAGATTTCGATGGAATTTGCCAAAATAACAAGATTTTCTGAACCCTTGGCAAATTGAACCTAGACAGAGTTGCTCACCAGTAACAGTGATACACAGGGGAGGACTGACCATTTGGAAACTCAGGCACTGCTCGAGGGCCCAGGGTCAGTAGGGGGCCCCATGAGATGCCCCTGGTACCTTTTCATAGGCTTTTTTGAGTGTGGGCAAGGACACAGGGGCCCCATGATGCTATATTTCCCGGGGGCCCCATGAGTTGTTAGTCCGCCCCTGGTGATACATCATGTTGCAGCTCTGGGAACTCGGTGCCATGTAATTTTAACATATGGCTCCCATTACAGATGTGCGTAAACATTCTCTACTCCAGAGTTACAGGGCCCTCGTGTTTGCCACTAAGAGAAAAAAAAGCATAATGCAGGGATCTAAAAAAAAAAAAAGAACTTCCAGGAATTCTTTTTTTCTTTGATAAATTAAAAGAATGGTAAAAAAAACAACAAACAAAAAAACTTTGCATAGATTTAGAAAAATCCCAATGAAATTACTATACCTGGCAAAACAACATTGAACATACTGCAACCAGCCCTTCCGTGACTGGTAATATTCATCCACAGCGAAGTTCCACACATCGTAGATCCCTCTGTCTTCTAAATCAGCCTCAAATATTGCTCTCCATGTGTCCCTGTTCATTATTGCTCTTATCTCCGAGGAACCAGTTACAAAGTATACTGCAGTTTCAAGAGCGGTGATGCATTGTCATTTGTTCAGGAAACGAAAGTAGAATTTATCCCCTTCTATAATGAGTGCTGGGCAGTGTCTACAAGCTGAGGCATACCTTCCGACTTTCTGATGTGAGAAAGAGATACACCTTTCAGCACAAAGTATACAGGCAAAACAAACACTCTTGTCATACCCCCAGTTACATGGACCCCAAAAATTAATATTTATTATTTATTTTATTTATTACAGGTACTTATATAGCGCCATCAATTTACGCAGTGCTTTACTTATATATTGTACATTCACATTAGTCCCTGACCCTCAAGGGGCTTACAATCTAAGGTCCCTAACTTACATTCATACATACACATACTAGGGCCAATTTAGACAAGATCCAATTAACCTACCAGCATGTCTTTGGAGTGTGGGAGGAAACTGGGGTACCTGGAGGAAACCTACACAGGCACAGGGAGAACATGCAAACTTAAAATTGATTAATGATTTTACCACTATGCTTCTTTTATACTGGCTTTTCAAAACACCAAATCTAATCATTTAAAGGTTGAATAAAAGGCTTAGTTTTAGTATACCCAGTTTTGGTAGATGTGATGGGAGTGACTTTGGGTGGGGGGCCCATGAAACCCAGCTCACTTTGGAGGGATTTTGAGACCCCTGTCTCAGCTCCCCATATCCCTCCTATGTGTAAGTCACCCTGTGTCTGTTAGGGGTACAGGGTGGAATGTCCTGATATTGTGAAGACATGTATAGGTGGGGTGTGGGGGTTGTTCATTGTTTATTGCCATGTGGTGCATCCCATTGTTCTATTGTTCCCATTGTCTTGCTTGGAAACAAACTATTATGGGATGTATGTGTTTGTGTATTGGCCTGGTGGGGGGTGTCTGTTGATGTGTCTCTGGTTGCTAGATTTGGTTTTGCCCTGCTCTGTGTCCATATGCGGGTTGTTCCCTTGAATGTTTATACTTGTGTCTGTGTTAAAATAAAGCAGTATATTTCCTGGTTTCCTTCAAGTCTGGTGGTCTCTAGTCTTGTATGGTCAGCGGTGGGGTCCGTAGTCGTTGTTCGGACAAGGAAGCAGGAGTCTAAGAGAAATACCCTAGTGCAGTAAGGGTCCGGTTCCATTACAGTAGATAATTAGTACTTTATTATAGATGTCTAGAGAGGGAAAGAGAGACAAAGATTTTGTTTCAAAAGAAGAACAGTCCCTCCAAATAAGGGACAGTTGAGCGCTATGCTAAAGTCTCAGGTTGGACAGTTCTGATGATGTTTTCTTCTATGGTTGTCATAAATGGAAATAGCATTTCCCCATCTGCCATTGAATGCACTAATATTACATCAGGTATGTAATATTCATCTAGGAATACTGGCTGTCTTTGGTTCAATATTTTCTGATTTCAAGTCACCGACCTGGAAAAAAGCATGCAGCTTAGAAAGTCACAGTAAAATATCAACTCCTAATCCACATACTTGCTCTGGCTCAGTGGCACAGGCTGCATTGAAACCACTGGATCAGCATAACAGTCAGGCAAATATCATTCCCTGTATTCTCTCAATAAAGGTTTCCTTATTTCATGTTGATAGCAATGAGTGTGCAACATTTAGCAGGAAACACTGAAGAAATACAACATACAGTAAACAGGTCTGCAAGAGCACTGTTTGACATCAAATAAACAATAAAACTAAAGTAAGACTGTAAAACTAACCTTTCCAGTCAATTGAAAAAAAATGAATTGACAGTGCTGTTGAAGTGCAAGCACCCTCGGATTTATGTACATACCTTTCCTTAACTTCCCAGGACCCCCATTACCTGGGGAGCTATGATGTGCAAATTTCATCTTTTTTGGTAAAAGTCAAGGGCTGGACTGCCCTGGCCCAATCCCACAACTCCTTATAAATATTCTATTCTGAACTTTCACTCTTCTATCTTCACACATTTTTAATATTTTCCAAGAAATCATAATCATAACAGCAAAAAAGTGTAAAAAATAATGTGTAAGCAATGGTTATTTTTCCACTTCCATACTGTAAGGAATAGATTTTTGTTCACAGGACAACTCATGAGAATGCACACAATTTATTAACATGTTGTATAACCGCTAGCCTACAGGGCACCTATACCCCATCCTGCCTAGGCCAATTTCCAGCTTTCAGCGCTGTTGCACTTTGAATGACAATTGCACGGTCATGCAACACTGTACCCATATGAAATTTTTATCATTTTTTTTGTGACAGATGGAGCTTTATTTTGGTGGTATTTAATCACCTCTGGGTTTTTATTTCTTCTTAAACAAACCAAAAACCGCTGAAAATTTTGAAAAAAAAAAAAAATTTTTTTCTTAGTTTTTGTTATAAAATTTTGTAAATAAGTGATTTTTCTCCTTCACTGATGTGCGCTAATGAGGCTGCAGTGATGGGCAATGATAGGCTGCACTGATGGACACTGATAGGTGGCACTGATGGGCACTGATGAGGAGGCACTGGTAGGTGGCACTGATGGGCATTGACAGGCATCACTGATGGGCACTGAAAGGCAGCACTGATATATGGCACTGATAGGCGGCACTGATAGGCAGCACTGATTGGCACTGATAGGCGGCACTGACTGGCACTGTTAGGTGGCACTGACTGGCACTGTTAGGCGGCGCTGACTGGCACTGTTAGGCGGCACTGATGCGCACTGATAGGTGGCACTGATGTAGACTGATTGGCAGCACTGGGATAGGTGGCACTGACTGGCATTGATAGGTGGCACTGACTGGCACTGATGGGTGACACTGAAAGGCAGCTCAGATGGGCACTGATATGTGGCATTGATGTGCACTGGTAGGCACTGATATGTGGCATTGATGTGGCACTGATGGGCACTGGCATGTGGCACTTATGAACACTGACAGCTGGCACTGATGGACACTGACAGGTGGCACTGCTGGGGCTACACTGATCATCAGGGCACACTGATCATCACTGCTCTGATGATCAGTGTACATGTCCCCACAGCGGAATGCCGATTACCGGCTCTCCTCTCCTCTCGAGCTGTCACGCTGACAGCTCGAGAGGAGAGAAATGCCGATAAATGGCATTTTCCTGTTTACATGTGATCAGCTGTGATTGGACACAGCTGATCCCATGACTGAGCCGACATCTTCGGCTCTTTCCGTGGATCAGTGATCCGCTGTGTCCAAGGGACACAGCGCACCGCCTATCGCCGCGCTGCGCGCTCCGGGATTGCGCATGCGCGGTTAGAATGGGAGGACGTCATATGACATCCTTCCAGAACGAGAGAACCACCTTGGATCCGTTATATTACTATATGGCGGGCGGGAGGTGGTTAAGTAGACATTAATATGAATTACACTTCACATAAATCGGTAAAGCACATCACAATTAATATATCACAATATTTCATATATTAACACAAACATTGACAAGAATACTTACATTAGCGGTTCTGCATATCTAAAAAGATTAAAAAGCTATAGGTCCTCTATAGTTTTTACTGAAATAAATGTTTTACTGAACATACATTATAGTATATGTACACGTTAGGGGTTTATAAACTAAAAAAAGAAGAGGATGTTCACTTAGCAAACTAAACGTTTGTTTAGCTTTGTGAATAAAGTTGTGTTCAACTGGAATACCCAATTATGTGCAAAAGATGTAGAAAAACAAGATTTGTGTCTGCACATGATTGGAAGACTGAATTGAGCACAGTGTCACCCTATTTACTAAATAAAATCATTTGCATTAAAGTATTTGTACGTATATTTTTGTGGTATATTGCAGGGGTCTCTAAACTGCAGCACGAGGCCCGGATGTGACCCTTTGCTACCCTCTATCCGGCCCCTGGGGCACTATTCCTCCCACTGAGATCAACAATTGGGCAGTACTTCTTCCCAATAAACCAATTATGGTGTACTATTCTTCCCACTAATACCAATGGTACGGCACTACTCCTCCACTTACTGACTAACAACCCTGAGGCCATGTTTATTCTCACTGATGCTGGGATATTTTCTATCCTCACTGGCCCTAATCCAGCCCTCCTAAAGTCTTAAGGACAGTATACCCAGGGGTGTATTTACCACAAGGCAAACAAGGCATTTGCCTAGGGTGGCATTTTTCAGGGAGGGCAGCACCACTTCCCAGAAGAAGACCAGGTGGGATCCGAGAGAGGCTGTGGGCTGCTTGACAGTGTATGCAGAGCCTGACTCTCCCCAGGAGATGTCTGGAGCTGTGAAGGTGAGCGGGGGTGGCCAGTGTATGGAGGGTGGTGGTAGTGGAAGGCTTTCTTGGATGGGGGGTGGTGGTGGTGTTGGTTGGTGTTAGGCTCTCTCCGCAGGGGGAGCCATTTTTGTGTTGCCTAGGGCAGCACAAAACCTAAATACAACAATTGAGTATACCGGCTCTTTGAAAAGTTTGGAGACTGCTGGTATATCGTTTAGTGCATGTTGTGTTGTACTGTATGTTGTGTATATGTTCTGTATATTTGTTGTATAGTTAAATAACACATTTGAATATAGTAAAATACTTCTGTCTATAATACACATAATCAAATATACAAGGTGCAATTATATAAAATGATACAAGATTGAATAAAACTATATGCTGTACAAAAATGTATGTGTTTTTGCAATATCTGTTAAATTATATACATACAGTACTATATGTTGTATAGAAAGCATTATCTCAGTATTACATAGTATTCTGTTGTTATCAGAAATTATATAAATATTTTGTATAATTACAGTGTGTGTGTGTGTTACCTAGATTTCTCACCTGCACATGGCAACTGGTTCCAGAGTTTATGGCTGACGTGGAGAAGTCAAGCTTTTAGTTTTCTCAGAATTTTAATAAGTTCTGGTCTGAGCCCTACAGCCTGGAGGTTTTGTAGATCTCTGACTTACCGTAGATATAGCCCCCATTCCTAGGTTCATATCTAACCTGGTTGCCAGACCTCAATACTAGTCTTAGCTGTCTTCAGGCCTTTATATATTGGAGCTGAATAACGTTCATGGCTCTTTCTCCAACTCTCTCTGTTGTTTGATCCTGCTGCTGAGTGAAGAGACTGACAACTGTCAGAACACTAAAAATGTAAAAGTGCTGCCTGTTTGCTTTGGGGGAACTCATCAGGGACACCCTGTTAATCAGGAACTAACCTGACCTGAGTTAAGTTATTTGCTTGGACAAGCAGATGTTTTGTTTGTTTTATGCCATGGACTTGCTGTGCAAAGCCCACCTGAATTGAAACTATGCTTCTTTGTTGCTTTGTGGAGTAAAACGTTAGCACAAACCTGCTTGGACTGTTCCTGGGTGTCCGCTTCCCCAGACATACTGGACTGCAACCAACACCAGCTGAAGCTATCCCTATTACAAAAAAAATTGCCCTGTTTCAGGTGTCAAATTATTCTATTTTCTGCTTGCTGAAAGTGTCAGTATTGTCTATGAGGAGTGTTAAATCTGTGTTTTAATGCAGTTTTTGTGGTGACTTTAAGAGGGTTCCTCAAAAACATCTTGTGCTGTGCTGATGGTCACAAGACTGTTTGGGGCCCTCATTGTGGGTTTATGTATCTTCTACCTGCTCCCTGATTTAGAGGCCTAACAAGCTCACAATTAATGCAGGTAAGCAAAAGTAAGAAAAAAGACTGACATTACTGCTCATAATTGAAGTCCAAATATATTGGTGATGTAGAGTAACTTCTTCTCCAAGGAACCCTAGGTACATAAAACCATGGCAAGTGCAAGAATGCCCTCAGTGCTCACACAGTTTAACAGTGAGAAAGTGTGTGTGTGATGGGGGAATGGGTTGTCAAGCTACCACATCCTCCTACCAATGCCTGATAGACACCACAGAACACCTTTAACATCACTGAAACCTAAAAAGAATTATTAGTTAAAAATAGACTTAATTAAGGTCATTTTAATCAGTGTCAGTTTTTTTTTTTATATTTTAAACACCCTGCCATAGTGTCAGATGCAGGATGTTAACGCAGACACAAGATGGCAGTGTCCTGCAAGTCAGTGGCACTCACACTCTGTAGAACGGCCCCCTGGAACTTGTATGCTGGACCACAGGACTTTGCTGGGGAGCAGCATGCCCAAGGACCACATCTTCCAGAGGAGCTGACATGTGGTGGGAAGTGAGAGAGGAGAGATCTGAAGAGCAGGAATACGCTGAATGCCAGAGGACCAGACCAGGCTTCAGAGCTAGAAAGGCGAAAGGCAACAAGATTCTGCTGATCGTTAACCTTGCCACTCTGTACAATAAATCACATAGCTATCACGGGTTGTGATCTAGTTCTCTCAACTGTTACTGTTTGAACATGTTTGCAGTGCAGTTTTACCTTCAGAGCTGATCACAGAGCACACATTCTGCAGACCAGGCCACTACAGTGCTACTTGAATCATCAGTCTACTCTTCAAGAGGAACCTTTTCTACTGTTGCCATTAGTCCTTGCAGCTGAGATGGGAGTTGCCTTTTGCCCACAAGCACTTTTGCCAGTTCCTACACCTCATTGCCCCAAATCTGCCTTTGACCAGTGCTTTAAAGGGGCATCCCAAAAGTCAACTGCCACTATAAGGGGAAGTGCTTTTCCTTCTTTGCTTTCCTTTGCATTGTTCTTTTGGGGGACGATCAACTACACTTTTTCTCACTGTGCACCAGCTGAGCTCCAACGAGCATGCAGAAGACTCCCCACTGCAGTTAAAGGGACATTGATTGCTTTGGGTAAAGTGCTCTTCCTATCTCAGATTTAATCCTTGCAATCAGGTCCTGAGGGCCAAAATGAGCTAGTCTACTTGTTGATAGTTTTTCTTGCTCACTGGGGACCGAAAAGCTACTTCAGGTTGGAAGTAGTGGGATAACTTCTGAAAAGCAGGCCTACTAGCACTGACTGATATTCTTTGGTAAGTGGCTAAACGGTTAGCACTTCTGCCTGGAAGTACTAGGGTCATTGGTTCAAATACCAGCCACAGCACCTCCTGCCTGGAGTTTGCATGTTTTCCCTGTGCCTGTGTGGGTTTCCTCCAACACTCCAAAAACATGCTGGTAGGTTAATTGTATCCTGTCTAAATTGGCCCTAGTATGTGTATGTATAAATGTAAGTTAGGGACCTTAGATTGTACACCCCTTGAGGGTTAGGAACTGATTTGAATGTACAATATATATATATATGTAAAGTGCTGCGTAGATTGAAGGTGCTATATAAGTACCTGAAATACATAAATGTTTCTTTGCTTAAAGTTGATATTAGTGACAACTGCCTCTGCATATGCCAATATTGCTTAATGCTGTTTAATCAATTTACTTTGAAGTTTAATATAAACCTCATATTGGTTTACTCCAACTAGTGTATGAGTCTGGTGGTAATTTATTCTAGTTAAGAGAATACTGTGGTGTCAGCAGGGGTCCAGCTTTCAGAACAGGGTCCAGAACAGCAGAGAGCCCAAAAATAACTCAGCAACTCCTAAGGGGGTAGTGCTACACTATTGCCTACTAGCAATAATGGTGAATGGTTAAGAGTCTGGGGGTTAAGAGTCTGGGGGACTCCTAAAAGCAGTTCATCATGGAGGGGCAACCAGCTATTTGCAAACAGGAGGGCGGAGGTAGGTGGTACATAAGACTTGCTGCACCACCTCCTTCAAGGATCCCAGTGCCTATAAGCATTAGGCACTGGTGCTTATATTTTGGGGGGGCTGGCTGTTTTTTAGGAAAACCCCACTTAAAAAATTCCCCCAATACCGAAGGCTATGTTGGCTGCAATCAGCAGCTCCCTTGCTGTAGGGATACTAGCCCATATACCTGACATGTTGGGCTGCTAAGCTCTGGATGGTCTTACATGTGTCTTGCAATATAAATTTAAGCTGGTCAACCTTGTCAGTGTTCCATCTGAGTTTGTAGCTATCCCCCTGTTGTATCTGTCTGCCCCGTAATGGGAGATTCTGTCCATTAAATATGCAATAAGGAAGTAAGATTTTGGCATTTTGCACAGAAGAACTGGGATCAACAAAAAAGAGATTCACCATCTTGAACATGTATTGCAATATACAGGAACCAAAAATTCTTATTTTCATGCATAGAAATATGTAGGGGGGTATAAAGCAGTATATATATATATATATATATATATATATATAGAGAGAGAGAGAGAGAGAGATTTATAACATTTCTGGGTTAATAATGTAACATATCTAAAATGCA